GAAAATATTTTATTTTCTGCCATTCCAGAAGCCTGCAGATTCTAAGTGAGACTATAATTTCAAAATAGCCATGACTTTAAACATTTTCTTCAAGAGGTTGAATTCTTTTGTTATTCTCTGCATTTGGAGCAGCTGTTAAAGGTTAACGATGAAATGATTTTTGTTTTCCTCAAAGGAAAAGAGAATGTAGCCTCCTGCTTGATGTTACGGTAATTATGTACACAAGAAGATGGTTTCTAGAGGAAGCGGTATTGTATATACAAAGAACGCTTGAGAAATGCAGGTGAACCTGGAAGGCAAACCAAAAGACAGAAACAGCTCCTGAAGAGGGGTGGCTGTCTGGCCAAACCTCAAGATGTTGTATCACAGTCCACAGTGGCTCCCATAGCCTCACTGGAGTCCAGCTGGGTATTGTGCTTTTGGAGCCTGTTTTTTCCAAGTTGGATGCTTTCTTTTTAGGACAAGTGTTCAAGTGGCACTTTTAAGTTAGCTTTCAAAATTGTTATTGACTTCCCTGAGAACAATGCCACAATACTGCATTGCACCCAGAAAAAGCACAATATGCAAAACTCCTGGTTTCTTGCTTTAAAACATGGAAATAGATATTATTATATAAATAAATATAGAGAGAGAAATATACATAAGTAGGATTTATGTACAACCTGTCAGTATTAACATTTTAGGGCTACATTCAGTGCAAGTTACATGGGCGTGGGTGCTGAATAGTCACACGGGGCACTGCATCTGGCTGTAACTTAAAGTAGTTTTTATTTCATAGAATCATAGAATGTTTAGGGTTGGAAGGGACCACTAGTGGTCATCTAGTCCAACCCCCCTGCAGTGAGCAGGGACACTGCTAACTAGATCAGGTTGCTCAGAGCCCCATCCAACCTGGCCTTGATTATTTCTGGCTGTGGGCCTTGTACTTCCATTTGGCTTACTTGGCAGTGATATTCTTTTTCCTGTGGAATTTGCTACTGCTAAAACCACACCATTTCTGATGCCTCTAAACTTCAGTAAGCGCAGCTGGCTTATTATAGCATAGGTCCTACAACCTTATGACCTCTTTCAGCCTGAGCTCACCAGATATTAGAGCCTTTCCATAGCAACTGCACTGCCTGCGAGCACTGAACTTCCAGAATCTGTATCCCTTTCCTGGGATGTGGATCCCCCTACTAATGACACACACTTGCAAGCTAGTGCATTGCAGCCAAGTAATAATACTGACTCTTTGGACTGCCTGTAACATCGACCTTCTCTGGCATGGTGGATGTGGCTACAGCTTATCTCAGTGGTAGATGTGAGCAGATACGCAGGGCGGAGGAAGTTTAGTACAGAATTTCCAGCCAAGGCTATTGCTCACATTCATACCATGAGAATCACTCAGAATAGGATCTGTAGTGTTTACGGACTGAAAAGTACCGTTCTTCCAAATCTGCTGGAAACACTGTGCTTGCCACAGCCTTCGATTCAATCGCCTTTTTTTAGGATGACATTTTGTGGTACAATAGCTGTTGCTTAACAAGTCATCTGGGTCTTTCTCCTTACAGCTTCAGGTGATGAATTACTGTTAAAGTAGTATTATTCTTACGCTTCAAAATTATTATTTAATAATACAGTCTTACATGCAAAGTTATCCTCTTCTTCCCATGTGGTATTTTTAATCCTTTTTTTGATGCACCTTTCTCATTTTCTTTGCAAATTTTTGAACATGTTTCTACTTCTGTGTTGTGGCCATTAATTAAAATATTACAGACAGAATATTCAATAATCTGTGAGAAACTTTTCTATTCATCTCTCTCCTGCTAGGTAGCTTCCCTGAAACCGTAACTCATCATCATTTCTCCTTTATGAGCTTCTTACCTTAAAATGCTTCTGTTATATCTTTTTTTGTGAATCTAATTAGTTTTTTCTCCTCCATGTTAATCACATCGAAATGTTTTGAGTTCTGACAAATTACTACATATTCTGTTCTCCTTTCTATGATACTACTCAGCATCTTGGTAATGTACCAAAATCTTTCACCTGGATTTGGATTTCCATGTTGAAGTTATTAGGGTTTTTTTCCTTAAACATAGTCATTTTCATTTCAGTACCATCATCCTATTAGTTTCTTCCTGTTTTGTCTACATTTTAAATCCACCTCCTTGCCAAAAAAAAAAAAGGTCAAATAATGACTTGGTTTTTAGGCCAGCCTGTTCATCTCATGACAGCGTGGTGTACATGCCTCATTCTTTGCTCAAAGAATTTTTCAGTGCTGTACTTCGCTTCATGAGGTTTAATTCATCCTGACCCGTTTCTCCCTGGTTTTGTTCTGTCATCTGTGATTTTTCTTTGCCATTTCTTTCCCTTTTAATTCCGTACCGGAACACTTATCCCTTTCTTGTTTGTAATGCAATTTCTGAAGAGTTTTTTTGACTTAAATTTCATTGTTCTTTCACTTTGAAAATCTGTGCTGCTCAAAGTGATTTCTGTAAATGGTTCCTTTAATAGCTCAAAGTTTGATCTCATATCTTTTCCAAATTAAAGAATTCTAGTATATATTGTTATATGAAACCCAAACTGCCTTCTTGTCATATGAAAACCATTCTTTATCTTTGATCATTTTTGTTGCCTTCTTACAGTTACATAATAAATCCCTTTTAAGATGGGAGGACCAGGACTGCATGCACTATTCAAGACAGAATTGCTTTCTTTTTTCAGTGTATAGTATTGTATAGTGTTAGGAATATTTTTTCTTACCCTCACATGCATTTATTTGCACTTACTAAAACTAAATTATATCTGTTTTTCTGTCATTCAGTGTCATAAGATCCTTTGGCATATTCTTTGCAGTAATTTTCATTTTTTCACAGCATTGAATAACTCTGTGGCCTCAGCAAATTCTTTGGAATGTATACTACAGATCCTTTCTGAGTGTGCTGAACAGGTTGAATCTCATTGAATGCCTGCCGATAACTGCATTTACACTGTGAAAGTTGACTTTTCTTCCCTGAACTTTTAATTAGTTATTAATTCATTAAGACCTTTATTCTCCTACAATAAGGTTGGTTTCTTTAAGATCCTTTGATAGCAAATTGTCAAATGCTTCCTGAAAATCTAGGTAAACTGTATCAATTGGATCCCCTTGTCCACCTGATTCTGCTTGACTTTTTCAGAAATGCTAAAGAAGTTGAGGCATAACCTCCAAAAGCCGTACTAACTCTGCCTTGTTATATCACATTCATCCATGTGTTCATTAATTCTGTTCTTATTAAGTTTAAAACATCAATCTGTTATACACAGGTACTGAAATCCTCCTCTTAAAACCTAAAAAAAAAAAAGTGTTGTTTTTGCTACCTCCTTCCAGTTCAAAGGAGTTTTAGTAATATTTTTAGTCTATCTATATAGTTTAACAATTATATATTTATGTTCTTTTAGAACACTGAGTTGAGTCCTAACAGATCTTAAAACCAGATTTTTTTTTTCTGATTTGAAACCTCTTCAAAATAATCTGAGAACCATAATTTAGAGCTCCTCTGCCTTCTTTCAAAAAAACAGATTTACTAAAGAGACAAATACGAGTAATACGTGACTACAAATTCAAGAACATATTGTACAACTCTTCAGAATTACAGAATACTGACAAGCACAAGCAAACCAACCCCGAGTTTGTATTGTGGGGTTGTCAGGTATAACCAGAGGTTGTAAACTGTGATTTTTCCATCTGAAGTACTAATATTTTCATGTATGACATATATACAATGCATAGTTTATTTAAGTAAAAAAAAGTTTCAAATTCATATTAGTTATGCTCACACTTCAAAAATAAATAAAAGCAATAATGATAAAAATCTTCCAAACATTCTTACAGTTTCTCAAATCCAGGAGGAAGAAATAACAGACTTAGTGCTCTTGCGTGCAGCATGGAACAAAATAATAATAAAAAAATCCTTACTGTTAGTCATTGCAGATGCTTTTGCAAACCTGGTATTTTTAACAAATGCTTTTACTACTCAATGGACATGTTTTGAGCACCTGTGCAATGTCACATTATACTCTGTCCCAACAAAGCTTGTTTGCAATCCTTGTTTGTGGTCTGGTATCATGTGGATGCATCCTTCCCTAACACTGCATGTGACAGGTTAGCAAGAAAGCCAGTAATAAGAGAAGGTGCTACTGATACAAAGAAAAACAAACAAACAAACAAGTCCAAACCTTCCATTTGTATTCTTTGTTCTGCAGTAGCTGAAGTCTCAAGTAGCAAGTGTGTAAGAAAAGGTAGTACTAAAGCACTTCTTTCCATGCTTTAATGCAGCTAGAGTTGCTGGGCTGCATTTTTATCTGATGCAATAAGATTCTGTCTTTACAGCGTATGTTTACTGTCTCAGTAAAGAAATTTAGAGATTAATGTCAGCATTTGTTGTTATATTACAAAGACTGATTTTACAGGAATATGGGAAGAGCTCTTCAAAACAAAATGGAGTTGAAAGAACAGTTTTGGTGCTTGGATAGACAGTAATAGAAGATCAGCAGCATAACACACTAGTCTACTGGCTTACTCTTCTACCTTACTTGTCTGTAAGTGTTAAAAAAATCTCTGTGAAAGTTTACTCTCAGTGTACTCCAGGCATTTTCTCCACTAAAGGGAGAGCAACTGCAATACTGTTAGTATTTCAGTTGGACAAAGCAGTTGAATTGATATAACAGCTTGTGTCCTCCAAAAGCAGTAATCTTTTCTGGCTCTGGCACTCATCTGACCCATCGCTGAGCCAATTCAGCTCACTTAAGTGGGCAGAAGACAAACCCCATGGGAAGAGGAGGGAGGAACTGAACAGCTTAATTTGGCCATATTGTCTAACTGCCTGACAAGTTGTCTTCCTAGCAGCTGCTCTGTTGAAAGCACTCGGAGGTCTCGCAGAGCAAACCCTTGTTCTATTCGTTGCCGTCCTAGAAGCAGACCCCAGACGTACCGAAATGTGTGGGACTGGGAAGCACTGATAATAGCAAATTACTACTCCAATGCAGCATGCAAGACGTTATTATTTAACAGTGGTTGCAGTTCATTTTATGGACAGAGGTGCACTAATGTCACAGAAACCTAGAATAAAGATTAAAGTAAATTCTTTTCTTGGTGGAAATTAGTAGCTTGATCTTTGTTACTGGAAAATAGACAAAATTTCTGCACTGGAAAGACTGTTCAGCTAAGAGGTTTAAATTCACAGAATTTTGTATCTGTAGCAAAGCACCAAGTTTTTATCTGGCATCTATTTCACTTCCAGCAATGAAATAGGTTCCTGAGCACCGGGCTATCCTGTCTGCCTTCCTTTCACTTGGCTTCATCACTGCTGGGTTTCTCTTCTGAATCATCACTGTCATATTCCTCATCCTCGTATCGGAAGGCACCCTCAGCTTCAGGGTCAGACTGACCTTCCTCTTCACGCTCATGAGACTGGTCAGACTGAGAGCTAGGTCTTGGCTGATCGTCCTCCTCTTCCTGGGAATGGCCAGGTGACAGGCCTGTCTTTGCTTCCTCTTCCTTCTCCTCCTCCTCTTCAGAGTGCTGTCCAGAGGGGGGGCTGGAGCCAGACTCCTCTGTGTGATGAGGCTGATGATAAGCGAAAGGGCTGGCTCTTCCCTCAGCCTCCAGTTCACTGGACTGGCTGTCCTCGGTGCAGGCTTTGACACCTTTTCCCTTCTCTCCCTCCTCTTCCTCCTCACAGGACTGCTCAAACCGAGGACTGCTGTCCGCTGCTTCCTCAAAGGATTCCCTTTCTTTCACTTTATCCTTCATGACTCTGAAAAGACAATTTGCATGTGTGATTTTACTTTCAGGTAGGATGCTTCCCAGTAGGTTTTAAACTACCTTCAGGTAATCTAGGACAAATTCTGGTAAACTTGGCTGGGGTGGAACTGGGGAAGCAAAAGGTAAGAGGGGAGGCCAGTCTCCTTTTATGCTAGAAAGTAACTCAATGGTATTGCTTATATATTTCAATTTTTTTATTTCTGCTTCCTTTTAAATCATTATACCTAATGGATATTGAAAAGTAATTTTTATAAGGCTTATGTTAAAAATTCAGTAACGGTAATGCAGAATGAAGTGACTTAATAGCATCCTGGCAGAATTTTTGGTGAAAGGAACAAATAAAAAAATGTTTTCCTTAATTTTTCTCTGAAATGCTTTATGTAACACATCCAGTGCTCTCCTCTGTTTTATAAAATAATATTTAATTCAGGAAAAACAATAAAAAATACATACTAATGCTAACACTAGTAAAGCTAACTACATAGTCAAATATTTACCTAGGAAATACTACAAATAATTAAAAAAATCCCCATTACCTACACATCAAAATTACTTTCTAATTACTAGGTATGTAGTGGCAAAAGAGAAAAAGCTTTCAGTAACCTCTACCTTTCTCTGGCATCAGTGGAGTGACTAGAATCTTCAGCACTGTAGCACTGTAGCAATTTAGTTGTTTTTCCTTTCTTTGAAATAAACTCTGGGCATATCCCCAGGGCTCTCAGTCTGTTAGAATAATGCTTTTCTGCAGCTATTCTGGCATTTTTCTGTAGGAAAACCACAATGGTTATGTGTTATCTAAATGCACTGAATGCCTGTCTTTTGATACTTTTGTGTAGTTATAGTAACACTCTGTTTCATGAATTGCATCTGACAAGTTGAATGATTATTCACTGCAGGTAAGAATGGCAAAACAATACTAAAAAAAAATTTACACCAGATTTTCCTTTTCTGTACCAGTTTAAATCCAGTTTGCTGCCTGCACCCACTGGCTAATGAAGAGCTTTATGTTCTGTGTGTAGCTATTGAGGAGGACGAGGATGTGAACATGTAGAAAATAAGATGTGACCTTCCTAGGGCTTTTCCCCTATCTTCCCTCTCTGGGAGCTGCTACCCTAAAATAGCATCGATTCACCTTCTTATGGTGCTGTTTAAGAAATTACATAGATGTGTGTATCCACCTCTGAAACCGAGGGTGTAAATTCTGTTTCTCCAGGTAATAACTGAGTGAGAAGAACTCGTCCTCCAGTCTACACAGATGGTCCTGCCCCGCAGCAATGGCAGACCAGGAAAGCAACATAGACAGAAGGGACAAGGGAACCAGTGATCTATGACTTGCTGCCTCTCCGGGTTTGGAAACAAAGTCAGGGACCACACTACCAGCACATGGTTGTACTGAAATGGAGAGATGCAAGTACTGTATCTGAGCTTTAATGTAGATACTAAAAATACTCAAATTTTCTTATCACTTCTTTCCCAGCTTAAACCTCTCATGTTTTTGCTGTAAGCTCTTGTTGCATTTACTCACGTTACAACTGAACTGGACAACACGTTTGGAACAGCCATCTCAGTTCCCTGTGTAAGCAAAGCATGACTGCTTAGTCACAAAAATTAGTAATGTTTATATGGAGATGGGCCAAAAGAGATTAAAATGGAAACATACTGGTCTCAAAAGTATTTTTCAAGTATCGTCTATGTTGAAGTGTTTGGCTACAAATGTCTTGTGCAGTATTTGAAGGTAAGATTAAGTAACAGGGAAGCAAGACAACCTGAGTAACTCTTTCAAAAAGCAATGGCCTTTGATTTACTCTTTCTTCTATTTCTTGCAACTCTTGCAGATATTCTTGCATTCTCTGCTTCTCGTAATTCCTAAGGGAAACAGTAACAGAGAAATTATTACTAGTTTATAATACAGGAAGTAATTTTCTACAGCAGCTGAAAGTTAAATTGCTCATAACAAACTAAATATTGTCCTACTTACACATATAAAAGGTAAATTATTTTATGGTGGTTCCAGGGTCTGAGGTATATTGTCTCAGTTTCATAGCAATTGCTAGCCTGTAAGTACTGAACAAAACTGTCTCTGAAGCAGTCACTTTTTGGATAAGCAGGGAAGTCCTGGCTTGTGAGGTTAAATAGAGGCTGAGTTTGGATTCTTAGGTTTTTTGGATACTTAGGGTTGTTTTTTGTTTGTTTGGGTTTTTTAAGTTTGGCTACCTAGGGTTTTTTTTAAATGCCGAGTGCATACAGATATTCTAGTTGGTCTAACCAAAATTAAACAGTTTGAAATGAGTGATAAAATCAAAATACACCATAGGAAATTAGTATTAATTCAATAAAAATCAGTACTTTAAGGTAAATCTTGATGATAAGAATCTTGGTGCTTTACCAGCCTATCTCACAAGAGGGGTAGCCACATTCTGGATCACAGTACACTTTTTTCCTAGTTGGTTTGTCAAGGGCCCAATCAATACAGCAGGACGATGAAACTGTTGAATCATCGATTGAAATTATAATCTCAGATCCCAGCAAGCATTGGATACTCCAGGTAGCACGGGTTGTAATCCTCAGGGTGTGACAAAGACACCTCTTTGTGATGTTGTCTCTGTACTGGGCCAGCTCTCGCACTACTAAGTCAGACACTTATGGGCAAGCGTGAGAGCTAGTGGGATTTTACGCTT